GGCTCCCATTTTCCTTAAAACTTTTTCGTTGCTTACTTTTTCTATCCATGGCATTATTCTATCGAGCCACACCTCTATTACTTAAAGTCTTCTCTTCATCTGGGGGGGGGGGTAAATTGTTCAACATTACTGTATGTTGATGATTATAAGACTTCCCATGAAATATCCCCCCACCAAAAAAAAAAAACACCTTATAAATCGAAGGTCGGTGACTAGAGCTATAAGTTTGGGGAGGAAGGTGAGCATCTGCTCCCCATTGACATCCGATTCTGAGCCCTTGAATGTAAAACAAGCCCAATATTTCAAAATTAAATTAACAGCGCTTTGAGTGAAGCTATTTATGCAGATGGGATACTGGGATATTGACAGGTAACGAAACCTCTGTTACAGTAACACCTGTTTAAGTAACACCTTCTTTCTTTCTTGCTTTCTTCTTTGCTTTCTTTCTTTCTTTCTTTAACTACTGGTCAAAAGCAGCATCATTTATAGTAGACACTTTAGGAATAATACCACTGTATACTACGATTCCGTTAGCATATGTTGGATTATTTACAGTTCTGAATGGTGTCAAATATTGCCGAGCAAATACAGTAGCCGCCAACAGCTGAAATAGCCATTTTGTCTATCATCATTGACAATGACCTATCAATATACACTTCATAATACACTTATTACATTCTAAATAGATTTTCATACTGAAATATGCTATTTAGTGGGTAAAAATGGGGATAGTGGGGAGGGCTATGATGTACAAGGAAAAGTCTTTTTTCCGATTTATTTCTTGGGAGGGGGTGTCTAATGCATCGGAGCAGTGAAATACAGTAATTACTATATAAAAGGATATTACATCATTCAACACGCTTTGTTTCACGCTAGTGATTATGCATACTGTAACACAACAAATACTAAAAACCTAGATAGAAGTATTGGGAATAATTCTATTATAGTATTTCGTTGGAGATGGCTTTAATATAGTTTGGATTGTTCTTTTTACTGATAGTTCGCCTAATACAACCCCAAGAGCCAATCAAGGTAGAGGGTGACAGAGTGAGATTGTAAGGGGGGAAGAAGGACGAAGTATTACGAGGACGAATAGGAGGGATATCGGTTGACCGTGGACGTAAGGAGACCAAGATTGTAATTGTCACGGAAGCAATGTATCGGGAGTTTCTTTCACAAAATAACAGTTCTAGAGAAGAAGCTGTCCCAAATGGAACTTGCTTCTTTTTTTTTTATTAAAGGAAAACAAAAGGAAATGATTTTTCAAGCGTAGCTTAGATGTGACACAAAGCAGAAAGTAGGGAGCTCCCCATTGAGAGTCGAACGCACTACCCAGTCGCACTGAGACAAGCTTGCCAACCATTACGACACGTCGAAGTGCCCAAGGAACACAAAGAGAATTGGGATGGCTTGCCACCGTGAACACGGTATAACGGGTTCAAGCTGTGAAGGTCTGAACTGGAACTAAGGGATGTTACTCGTCCGAACATCTGTCATAGTAATAGCGATATAACAGGGATAAGCTGGCGATGTTTTGTCTGTTGCATAAAAGTTACAGGGTGGAAGATAATTCATCACCGACAAGGCCACGTATGCACTTTCGAACTCTGTCGATGCTGGACAGAGAGGAATGGGTAGCACTAACTCAGATATGGCAGAAATATTCCACTCTTGGTCTGATCTGACTCTTATAAAAGATAGAACATGGCAGCAGGAGTTTGGTATTGAGCGATACAAGGAACCAACCATTCTTTTAGCATCTTTTGCGATGGCACCAAATATACGCGTTCTATTTGAGGTCAGCAGTGAGCTTTAGACTCGGTAGGCGTTCGAGGCAAGGAGCCTTTTCGAGGGTATAACCACACCAGGATTGATGTAAGTCTATGGATAAGATTTATTAAAAAATACAATAAAATTTTCATCCATTCTAATGATTAGATATATAGAGACATTGCAAATAATAAAAGCATATAGAAATAGAAATTATTTCGCTGTAGGCTTTCGTTGGAGATGATTTTAATACTATTTTTTTATCTAAACTATGATATGGATAAGATTAATTAAACAATTACAGTAAAACATTCATCATGAAGAGATATAGCACATATGATTGCAGTGTGCCAGCATAATTATTAAACAAATATGGCGTAACTTTGAACCACTGTTATGATTACGTGTAGATAGACACTGTAATGATTACATATAGACACTGTAATGATTATGTGTAAATAAGCGCACTAATGATTACGTGTAGATAGACACTGTAATGATTACGTGTAAATAAACACACTAATGATTACATGTAGATAGATACTGTAATGATTACGTGTAGATAGACGACACTGTAATGATTACGTGTAGATAGCCACTGTAATGATTACATGCAGATAGACACTGCAATGATTACGTGTAGATAGACGACACTGTAATGATTACGTGTAGATAGAAACACTAATGATTACGTGTAGATAGCCACTACTGTAATGATTACGTGTAGATAGCCACTGTAATGATTACATGTCGATATACATTGCTAATGCTAAACGCATATATAATAGCTTAAGGAGAACAGTTCTCCAATTCTAGGAAACTATCTGGATTTTATCAAAATAGATTTGGGCGTCGGACAATGAAGGCAATTTAGATACAGCTTTAAAGTGTGTCTGCACGTAATCGACATCTAATAAAAAAAGCCTAAACTTGAATAAAAGCGAATTTTACTTTCAAAATATGTACTATTTGCATCGATTAAAATGTCAAAAATTCATTAGTTCGTTTCGCTAATTAAAAAAAAAATAGAAGTTAGAATAAAAGTAATTAATCATGTCCAAATACGTAAGTAAATTTTCTGCAACAAAGCGACATCAGATACCAATAAAAAAAAACTTAACGGTGACACACACACATCAATGTTCGTTTTCGCCATGAACAGAAATTTGAATCTTTTTTTTTTAAATTTTTTTTTATTTATTTACGTGACTCCCCAACTGAGTCAGGTTGCGACACAAGGTCGGTACAACAGAAATTTGAATCTGGGAACTTGGTTCAGCCGTGGTCCAAAGTATAGACGCGTAGTTCTTGAAGATCCGTCTCCATGATAGCACATAAGACATTCTGCTGAATTCTGAGCTCGTGAACTGGCCACTAAGTGAACGGGACATAAGTGAATGTATTTAAAATAAAATAAAAAAAAAACGTCCAGTTCCTTCGAGGTTGCAATCGCAAAGACCAACCTCGTTTCATTTATGCCGAAGATGAAACACAATTGATCCCAGTTAAAAACGTCCAGTGATACAATAAACAGTCAAAGAGTGTTTCTTGTGGCAAATGCTAAAAACAAACATTCAATTAAAAAAATCCTATAATGATGCAAAAGGTGTAGTGTTTTCTTTTTCCGGATAAAAATTATTGAAAACATTCTTTTAAAAATATTCAATAAAAACGGCATAATTATTTCAAGTAATGTAAGTTAAATCTTATTGCATTTTTGAACTGTGTAGTGGGTCATATTTAATGTCATATCTTTCTCCTTATATATCTAGAAAACCAGAGATTTTAGGAGATGCATCTTCCCGGTTCATACTCCTCTCCGTTTGAATTCTGATATTTTATTTACTATTTATTTTTCCCTTTCCAATAGGAGTAGACGGATTCGTCTATCGCCTGGTTCGCACACCTCAACGGTCTTTTGTTTCTTGTTTAGGATTGGGTTTCCGGTTCCTTCTAAAGTCTTTTAGCATCCCGCTACAACCTTTTTATCAATCTCAATTTTTGCACAAATCTGTGCAAAAAGCGGATCACAGCGCTTATTCAGCGTCATATATATTTTCAGAAAACTCCAACTTCTGATTGGTCCCAATATTAAAATCATGTTCTCAACTACGTCCGAATAAAATCGATTTAGTTCTTGACCTGACAAAAAAAAAACAAACAAAAAAACATTCCGCCAAATTTTGTCTATGCCTTTCGATCCTGTCACGTGATTAAGTTGATTATAAATACCAGACACGAGTTCGTTCTTCCTCTGTCTTGATTTCTCTCGCTACTAATGTAGTTGTAAAAGAAATCGCGGCTCGACCCTTTGCAGGCGGACGTCATGTAAACATATTCACACACGCACACATACACGTACGTACGAAACTTTGCAAACTTAATTACAAACATTACAAGAAATGGAAACTTAATTACAAACATTACGGAACGGAACGTTCATTCCTTCAACTTTTCTGAAGCTAAACGTTTACATATTCTCAGCTTTATAGAATTCTTTCAACTCTCTCGCAGTGAACATTTTGAGCAACAAGTTCATTCAACATTTTATGAGCTCAGATAAAAAAAAAATATTTCATTAGAAAAAGACTTTAATTTTAATCAAAGGGAAGTAACCCCTATGCTTGTACATCATTATACAAATATAAATATAAATCTCGTTGTTATTATAAAACCGTTTCTGTGTTTATTCTTATTGTTTCATATTTTGTGATACTTTGCGTTAAATATAAATTGTGAGGTCACACCAACTATGGGCCTCTACAGTTTACTTCAACTCTACACGTTTGAAGTCTCCATCTAAACTCTGTAATGCTATTCGCTAATTATTTCTATTCTTTTTTCTTCATCTCCTCAGGAAGAATGGGTAAGTTTGACCATCGTCTAGTTCACACCCTTTTTTCGTCTTTTGAACAGGAGTAGAGGTTCATCCCTTGTTTCTGCTTAGGATTGGGTTCCCGATTTCTTCTAAAGTATTTTCATTCTCTTTCACTCTCATAACCAACCTCTTGCGTCTTAGTGGCATTATCACCTTCTTTGTGGTGAATTGATTAAAAAACAAAACAACAACAAAAAAAAACAAATTCTTTTAGTTTCCATGTTAGCCAACAGGTGGCGGTCTAATTCAAAATGGAAGAAAAAGAAATGCATCACAAAGAGTTAAAAGATAAAAAAAAACAACATTGAAGTAGAATGCAACAAATAGATAACCATTTTTTATTCTGTTTATTTCAGAAAAAAATAACAAAGAGAGAGAGAGAGAGGGAAAATGAGTAAAAGGTGGGAAAGCATTTCGTCAGACGGCAATGGCCGACCGATTTGAAAATGTCGTCATTGGCTGAAAAAGAACAAAGCCGTAGATAAAGTGAGACTAGATTATGACGTAATACATACACCGCGACACAGGATTTCATGTAGTTTGGGCTAGTGGTAGTGGTGGTGGTGGTGGTGGTGGTGGGGCGTAAATTAAGGGTCATGACTTTGGAGATAGAGAGTAGTGAAAGACAGAGCGATAGAGAAAGCGACAGAGAGAGAGAGAGAAAGAGAGTGAAAGAGAGAGTGAAAGAAAGGAAAAGTGAGACAGAAGAGAAGAAAGTGAAGGAGAGAGAGAGCGATAAAGAGAAAGTAAGAAAGAAAAAAGAAAGAAAGAAAGAAAGAAAGAAGGAAAGAAAAACTAAACGAAAATGGGTGAAGGGTTGTCTGAAATACACTTTGTGTAAGAGAAACGACAGCTCCATCATAACTGTTTAAAAAAAAGGTCACGTGACCTCTGTCGCAGCCACTCTTGCTTGTGACGAAGGTTTTTACTTGCTGCCTACAAAGACAAAGAAAAAAGAATTTCAGTTTTAATACCTGATAAAATAAAACCCCAAAAACTGCAGTTTTATACGAAGGAAGGTAAAAAAAAAAAAGACAATATCTACTCGAATCTAATTTTAAAGATAATTCTTCATATTTTTTTTAGGTTATAAACCCTAAAGTTTCTAGAAGCACGCAAAAAAAATTGTGGAGTTTTTTTATTTGCTGTGGCCTTTGGGCAATCATGTCTCTTCACAATTTTCTATCTCTTGTAGCTTTAAACAACTTTTGACTCTTCACCATCACATTCTATATATCTTCTTTTCAGTTTGCCTTGTCAGTGTCATAGTATAGTGGCTTTGTTTTCTCCCGAAACTAAAGCCACTATACGAAGCTTAGAACGGCTCAAGATCAAACATTATAGACATTCGTTTTCTGTCATGTTTAACAATATATATATATATATATATATATATATATATATAACCAAAACCGTTGGTGGAACCAACAGAAACTTGCCACAAGACCAAAATATCCTTGAACAATATAAAATTTTGAACAAGGACAGCAACAGGAAAAAGAAAACGACTTAAAAGTAAACACCTACATGCTAAGTAAAGTGCCCAACGCCTAGATAACTAGACAGAGCAAAAACGCTTGGAAATATCAATTCCTATGAAAGGATGGCCCTAGTCGTAACACGAGTTTCACGCTCACACGATCTTCCTTTTTTTCCCCTCCTTATTCCTGAGGTTTAGGATCATGTACACTTCTTAAGGTTTTGAATTCAGAGGTGTCCATCTCGTAGACAGTGGTTTCTAACCGCGGCTAGACATGCCCAGTATACCATGTAAATATTCTCAGATAGAGTGTATCTGTAGAGGAGACAAAATGAATAAAAAGAGACAAGAGGACAAACTATTCTGAGGCGACGCGTCTCGTCCTCTGATGGACATTATCAAGACAATGTCCTTTAAAATCTTGATAAAATCCCTCAGAGGACGAAACGCGTCGGTTAAGAATAGTTTTTTCCTCTTCTCTATCTCTCTTATATATATATATAGATAGATAAGATACATAGTAGACAGACAAACCTGGGTTTCCACCTAAACGGATCATCAGGAAAGTTTGGCCAAAATTTCCTGACGATCCGTTTAGGTGAAACCTAAACAGGTTTGTCTGGCTCACTAAATGTATCTAGGGTTACTCTGTTGTATTGAGCTCTTTTGTTAGTTAGTTGTTACTCGTATCGGGTTTTTCTTTGGGCTTCAGACCTGCATCTGTGCGATTTTTTTTTTGTCGGCAGAAGTTCATGTTTGTAGCTCTTTTTTTTTTAAAACCTTTTTTCCCTCGAGATTGATTTGATTAGCAAATCAAAAAATTCGAGGGTTTTTTTCGAGTGAGTCTATATTTATCTATATTTATATATATTTATATATATATATATATATATATATATATATATATATATATATATATATATATATATATATATATATATATATATATATATATATATATATGTATATATATATAGTTTCGTTCTATGCAGCACACGTTTTTTGTTCAGCGGTTCAAACAAATTGAGGACCGAAGAATTCATTGAACCAATACATGAATCGTTCTTTTGATTATGGAAACGTCGCATGAAAAATATACTGAATATGGATGCTATGAATTGAAGTGAATAAAAGAGTTTGTTATGGAATGGAATGGAAACATCTTGCATTAACATATTTGCTGTTTATTAAGCTTGACTTAGTTTTCATAGGAGGACACAAGTTCCAGCAGGTAATAATATACTGAAAAAGATTTCCTTCAATTAGTTGATTCTTATTTAAGAAAAATGTCGAAAAATATCTAAATAAAAAAAATTAAAAAATTAAAATAAGAATTTACAAATAATAAAAATTATCAAGTAATCTTTTGAGGTTGACAGGTTACGGCTAGTTAAATATTGCCAACTTGCTGAATATTTGTGCTAACAGACGACTGATTGATTAATTCATTTTCTACGGTTTATCAACCCTTTGCATAATATCGAAAGCCATAAAATATTTTTAGGTTGTAAAACGTACTTATTTTTAGTGATAATAATGATTTAGTAATACAATTCTTACTAATTAATCCATAGCTGTGGGGAGACCAGGGCGATTCATATATTTTCTAAGGGTATTTGCGCTTAAGTCAACACAGCTGGAATTAGAACTCGGCTATCCGATTAACAATTCCGAGACTTTTTTCATTACATTACCCGCACATCCAAGATTACAGCACCTGGTATTCCCAAGCAGTCACCACTCTAGGTACTGGCCAGGTTCAACGTTGCTTAACTTCGGTGATCGTACGAGAACCGGTGTTTCAACGTGATGTGGTCGTAAATCTTAACAGTCAATGTTATAATATAGAGCAAGTGAATTTGGCCTTACAGATTGAACATAGAAATATACTTCTTTAAAGAAATATGTGCCTGAGCAAGACACTAGAAAAAACCTTTGTATACTATTTTCAGCTTCTACCTTATTGAAGACAAAGGAAAAATAAATCTAATAGTAATTCTACTATTACGTAAATAACACTTTCACACGTCATAGCGGACATTGTTCATTTGTTTTTTTTTCTTTTTTAAATTTCGATACCCTGAAATTCCACAAGATTAACCTATACTAATCTCAACCTGTTTTTATTGTGACATTTTGATATCTTTTTTTTTTTTTAGTTTTCTCTATTGACTCTCACTAAAATGATTATTTTAAGAGAACATTAACTAATAAAGAGAAATACGAGTGGGGGGGAGGTGTTCATCGACTTACGATAGAGTTCCGTTCCTGCGATGCGTCGTAACGCTATTTCTCGTGTCAGTCGAAACGTACCCGCAGTTTTCCGTGAATAAGCACTCTCTCACCAACAGTTCAATATGGCGTTCAACCAGAAACAAGACAGACGCCGCCTTCTTCAATCTAGCGCCGTATGACGATATATTCTTCTGCCGTGCAATGTATTCTTCCGCCGCGTCGTTCGCGTCGTATGGATGAAACAAAATCAATGCAGACTGCGTCGTAACCACGAATCGTCGTAGGTCGGTAGCTCGGGGACTTTTTGTACTGTTATTGAGTTTATCTTCCTTATTATCAATGGCACACGATGCATTTCAAGCAAAAAATATCGAACTTTATTTCCTCATGCTCTACGACCTGTGCACACTGTGCAAACATGGCGTATGCATATAAATGGACGAAAGCAACTAGTTAGACTAGTTTCCTAACCATTAATGTATGGCCTTGTAATCTTATATATATATATATATATATATATATATATATATATATATGTATATATATATATATATATATATATATATATATATACAAAATATATATATATATATATATATATATATATATATATATATATATATATACAATATATATATATATATATATATATATATATATATATATATATATGTATATATATATATATATATATATATATATATATATATATATATATATATATATATATATATATATATATATATATATATATATATATATACAATATATATATATATATATATATATACAATATATATATATATATAATATATATATATATATATATATATATATGCTTATATATATATATATATATATATATATATATATATATATATATATATATATATATATGCAATATATATATATATATATATATATATATATATATATATATATATGCAATATATATATATATATTGCAATAATTTTTGCCTTTTTTTATTGATATATGTGAAAGAATATATTACCTGTACGCCAGCATGGGTAAGCAATATATCTCTGGTTAGCCGTACGCCTTAGGCAAAGACCTTGATAACCACGCTTGTTCGGGACACCGGCATCAGTGTCAGTGATGGCTTCTGGATTAACTTTGCCATCGGAAACAAGCTGAAAAAGAAAAAGAAAAAAAACAAATCACTTTTTAACGCTACAAAGAATTAGTGTATAAATTTATACCAAAAAGAAATGATCAGAAACGGTAAAATAAACACATAAAATTGTTAGTCGATAACAAGCCAGAATTTTAAAAGATTTTAAAAATTTATAAATTATTCGATTTAAAACTGTAAAAAATGAAAAAAGTCTTGTAAAAGTTCATTTTTCATCGAAAATTTTTTTTCTTCTGACATTATTGTCTTTAATATATATCATTCATAAAAGCAATTAAAAGCTTCGATAATTAAATAATGTCTTAGTTTTATTGCGTTTTTTATTTTTCGATTCAGAACAGATTTTCGGTAAGTCGGAGTCCAATTTTGCAAAAAAAAAAAAAAATCGTTCATTTAATAAGGGCGCTGGGAACTATTACATACATATATTTTACAGATAATTTCCATCGTAATTTGAGCGCTTTGGTGCGAGGTAATAGTTAACAATCTTGTCAGGTTGATCATTACTACTGAGCAATGAGTTTGATCTTCCCTAGTTGCTCGGTATGTGTAGCGTTGTGCCAGACTAAGCCAAGATTCTTCTACTATTTGATCTATCCCTTAAGGACGTGGGCGTTCATGACTCTCCGTAACTTTCTTTTCTTTGTTGCCCTTAGTAAGATTTTTTTTTTTACTATAGCTCCCCATATTCTGTTCTGCTATCCATAGGATGCAGGGGGTTGCAGAAGATTTGGAGCGAGAGCAGATAGGAGTGATAGAAGAAAGGATGAGGAGAAGGATAGTGGATAGATCAAGGTAACTGGAGATGTCGATTGACATTACATTTGAATAGTTGGCGATTATAGCTCTCAGGGAAACAGTAATTGGGAAGGATGTTACACAGGCGAGAGGTGCGAGGTATGAAGCTATTGGAGTAGAAGAGACGGCTACATTTAGGAGTTTCGACAGTGAAAGGGTGAGAGCGGGATGCCAGATCTTTCCGTTTCCCTTGTCATCAATATGTCCTGTGAATGTACAATTTTCCTCAATAACTTAAAATGAGGAAAGAAGGCCTGGAGAATCTGACACTTTCAAGACGAAAGCAACGAGTAACCTACCTAACGGGCTCGTGCAAATAGATGGCAGAACAGGGAATGGGAGAGATAACGAAAAGGGGAGACCTTACTAAGAGGTACAAAGGTTGTGGATTTGAAGAGAGCTTGGTTGTCCACGTCCTGAAGGGATACGTGTAGAAGAAGAAGAAGAAGAAGAAGAAGAAGAAGAAGAAAACCTGTTTTATGTTATAAACTTGTACACACACGTAATATTTCTACTCATCTCTCTACCCATCTCTTTTTAATTTATTTATTTTTTTAAAAATTTCTTTGTTTTTTTTCTTTCTTCCTTTCAGATGTATTTCCGTTTATCTCTCGGAAGCCTGTCAAATAAACTTTGGATCATTTTTTTTTCCTTTTCTTTTCCTGTCGATATTAGCATCACCAAAGCGCATCAGATATTTTTTCCATTTGATTCCATCATTTCACACACTCGGTAGGCTTTCACACACACAAACAGACATACACACACAGACAGACATACACACACAAACACACAGACAGACACACACAGGCACACACACACAGACAGACAGACACACACACACAGACAGACACACGCACACTATCCTTTGGTTTGCTTCTACCATTTTCTTCCCACCAGGCTACTACCAGTCGCATTAACAATAAAAGGTAGAACTACTACTGCTTAGTAAGTGACAAACTTGAACTATCTCGCTAAAATATGCTTAACCCTACTACTACAAATAGATCGTAACTAAGATTAGTTTCTTCTAAACCTAAATTTCGGAAATTATTTCTGACTTCATCTAATAAATTTCCTTTTTTTCTCTAAAGCTTATTCTCATGCAGACACAACTTCAAATTATTAAGGTGAGTCTTGTCTAGCATGAATATTTATTTGACAAAAAAATATTACTATAAAAGAAAAAGGAACGGTCTTCTTAGGAGTAAATTAATAAGGAATGCAGCTTTCGATATGTTAGTCAGTCAAGTGTCATACGTGAGATACACTTGGGTGATCATGTCTCTTTTGATTCAAGACTGATGAGGCAGAAGAAGATTTTCCCAAAGCAAACCACCGACATCAACTTCTTCCCAGGAACCACTGCTCTGTGGAACCGACTCCCAAGAGAATGTTTCCCCGATCACTATAATCTTAACCTGTTCAAGTCAAAGGTTAACAGTTACGTTCCCCTACTATCCGTATAAATTGCTTCTCAATGTAACCCTCTACCTCGAGTGGTCCACGGGCCTCGTTCTGGGTGAACCTTACAGTAAAAAAAAAAAAGAAAAAGAAAAAGAAAAGTAGGCTGCTGTTTCTTTCTTGCCAATCAACGTTATAGAATGAATTCATGCCTTTCACAATGCTTATTTGTGCAGATGTGAATGCAATGAACCTGACTGGAATTCGAACTCTGCTCTCCGATTTCTAAATGGTATAGCACATCAGGCTATATGGAGGTTGTAAGGCGTAAAGGTGTAAGTATTGCTTAGAGTAACAAAAACAGGAGGCTGTGGAGAGCCACGATCAGCTATATCCTTAAGAGATATGGCAGAGAAAGAGATAGATAGATAGATAGATGAGGCAGATATAATAATACCACTATGGCTAACGTCATACATCAGTATTTGGTAAACTTAGATTAGTATGGCATAAGGTCAAATAATAAAATGATTCATATCAGACAAATTATGATGGGAGGGTTATAAGTTCTAGAAAATCAGCATTCGAAAATCAGGCTTTTTACCTGGGATCGAACACTAATCTCTGGCACTGGTGGGGAAAGGGGTATCTCAGTTATGACGAAATCGCTTACGATGCACATTCAATAAAAATGCGTTCGATTCTAATTTCTGCCCTATCTATTTTTATCCAGCCTAATCGATTTATTTACATCTGCTGTAGCATGAATCAGCCACGGGCGCTTCTACTCGTCAGGGGTCACAAGGATCTGGGCAACTCTCATTCCTATTTTTGGAAACGGAAACGTCTCCACCGAACCTAAGTGCTAGGAAAATACCAATTTTGCCTTGAAGCCGCCAGCCCGGCGGCTTCCCGTCTTCTTTATATTAATAGAAGATTTAATTTATTGCTTATAAAAATAACGTCGTCTCCTTTTTCATCTCGATTTGGTCAAGTTTTTGAGGAGCAAGGTTTAGGTGAGATAACAAAATTTATTAAGAACTACAAAAGACAGGAAATTGTGGAGAGCCATGATGGGTCACGGCGCATAAAAGAATCTCTTGTATGATACGCTTCATGAAAATATATTAACGTGTAAAAAACGGCCAGCTTTGGTTAAAGAGCTGGTTAGAGTGGTAGTCGCGCAGGTTAGAGAATAGGTCTAGTTCGAGAAAGTTTTTGATGGTTGCAATCGTTTTGAGGTTAAAATGGTTGACGATATGAAGTTGAAAAGGGCTTTTTTTTTAGTAAAGGTGTTGTAGACTCGATCCCAGAAGTTATCCAGTCTGAACTTGTATGTAACATCTGCTTCGGTCTCATGCAGGCTTTGCAGATCATCGAAGATCATATGAAAATTACTCATGCTTACTATGTAAATGTCCTTCCTTACAGGCCTGCAGAGTACTTTTGTCAGTTTTATAATAAAATTTGCAAGTTTAACGCCGGGCTGAAGCGGCATACAAAAGCAGACGAGGAGAAAATCATTTTCAAGACTCAAAATTCCTTTGTGTGTCACATATGTAAAAAAAAGAGCGAGGCTGATTTGCAAAGTCATCTGCGTGTCCATGACCACACAGCTGAAGAGGTGCCAAATGTCCTCCTTCTATAGAAGGGGCATATATATATATATATATATATATATATATATATATATATATATATATATAGTTAAGTTATGAAGTTTTTTCTCTTTTTTTCTCTCTTTCGATTCATTTCCCTCTCTTCCTCTCTCTTTGCCATAAAACGCATTTGGATACGTCTGTCTTTTTTCCCCTTTTTCTCTCTTTCGATTTACTTCCCTCTCCCCCTCTCTCTTTGCCATAAAACTCATTTGGATACGTCTGTCTTTTTTCCATTTTTTTCCTTTTATTTTATTTCCTTTCCTCACTATTCCTACATATCACTTCCGTTTTTTTTAACCATATAAATAGGTCAAGGTTAGGTCACTCCTCCTACCCCAATATAAAGCTTATTTAAGAGAGATATAATTTTAACCCTCCCTATACTCTGTATTGTCTCTTTAACTGCCACTTTCACCCTCCCTGTTTAATTACAAAAATTACACTAGCCATCAATTTCTAATCCCATTTTTCCTCTCATTTCATTGTTGGAAGTGTTACCTGATGATCCGGAATCCTTTAAAAAGGATTTGGTGAAATAAATTATTATAATGGTACCTTAAAGTGGTCTGTTTTTATATATATATATACATATATATATATATATATATATATATATATATATATATATATATATATATAATGTGTGTGTTTTATGTCTACAAATGTGTTTACTAATTCCTCGCAATAAGACAGTGTGTATGTATGGAGAGGAATATACATATATACACGCGTGCTGACAAAAACACAAGAAAATGGAAATAGATCTAAGAATACACAGGGGTCATTAAAAGATAAGAATGCCGATAACTCCTTCGCCATTTTTCGGACCAATGCTAATTGTTTTATAACCCTTCACGCAGAACTTTTCACTGCCAGTTCAAGAAAGAGATTTGGGCCACTAACACTATAGACAAGGATATAGTTAATAAAAAGGGAAAATAAAGAAGAAAGAGAAATAAAAAGTGGGAGAGAAGAAAGACATATTCTTTTTTTGGAGAAATATTTTCTTTCTCTTCTTTCTTTTTCTTTTTTTCCGGAAAAGAAGACTTAAAATTCTGGAAGCCATTGTAATAAAAGAGAAGCAACAAACATTAAATAGAGTATTTTTCTCTCCCGGACATCGTGAAGTAAGTGTAAAAACAAACACGTAAAAATTAAGTTTCACCGTTGCAAATGACTTTATTTTTAAGTGAATTGAAATTGGTTCCTGCAAACAATGGAACATCGAAATTAACCCCAAAACAGTTACGTAAACAGACAAACCCCCAAAAATCGCAATTATTGATGGTATTTATCAATCCACCCACGGGGATCGAATGTGGCACAAGGCCTTTTTAATGTGGGTATCTCTGAGCCCGTAGGCCCAGCCAAAATAAATAACCATCCAAACCCGCCGAGGCGGGCCAGTTCCGTCAACCTCCCCCAACGAAACCCTACCCTTCGGCGGAGCTTCTTCCGGGTTCCTCTCTGCAAGCAGAGAGTTCGACAGACACCCGACAGACACCCGACAGCTCACAAAGCGCAATTATTGATAAGGACTGTATTGGTAATCGAATGTACTCTGATTCAAGGAACAAAAAATAAACTTTGGAAAATTTGTCAATTGTATAAAACAACTCAGAAATTGGAAAAAAAAATAATAAAAATTAGACAGACACTCCTTGTTGGTATTGTTCAACAAAACTTGCTTAAAAGAATTCATGCAAGCTAACTACACCTGAGAGAGAGAGAGAGAGAGAGAGAGAGAGAGAGAGAGAGAGAGAGAGAGAGAGAGAGAGGGGGGACAGACAGAGTTAAAATAAGGGGTAAAATGTAAACGATGAGAGAGGAAATATCCCCAAAATATGAAATTTAAATTCACCAATGAAGTAAAAGGGAAAAAATATAAATAGAAAGAAATGGGAACAGAAAAACAGAAAAGAAAGAAAAAAGTTAGAAAAGCAAAGAGACAAAAACAGAATAACGATCAAAAATATTAATGAAAGAAAGAGATTGAAATAGAAGAGAAAGAAGAAAATAAAAAGAAAGTGACTAAAATAGAAGAGAGAGAAGGAGAAAAATAAAGAGAAAGAGATTGAAATAGAAGAGTTAAAAGGCAAAGAAGAAATTGTATGAAGTGTTTGATAAAGAGATTAACACAGATGCATATATAGATTATCGATTTTCCTCGGTTAAAAATAACTTAGTAATAGATGAAACAGATTTAGCGGGCTAACCGATGGCAAAGGAGACTTTTAGTACAACGATAAAGAAATCAGAAATACTTTATAAGTTTTAAGAATTTTTAATAACCTATTTCTGATTTTGGTTGTATTAGTCTTTTAAAAGTCTATCTATCTATCTATCTATCTATTCATTTTTGGTTATCTATCTATCTATCTATCTATCTATCTATCTATCTATCTATCTATTCATTTTTGGCTATCTATCTATTCATTTTTGGTTAACTATCTATTCATTTTTCGTTATCTATCTATCTATTCATTTTTGGTTATCTATCTATCTATCTATCTATTCATTTTTGCTTATCTATCTATCTTTCTATCTATTCATTTTTGGTTATCTATCTATCTATCTATCTATCTATCTATCTATCTATCTATTTATCTATCTATCTATCTATCTATCACTTACTTACAAAAAACACTTAATACATCTCTTCCTGGTTATCTATCTTAGTCTTTTCAAAGTCTCTCTATTCATAAAACTCTTTTTAATGAAGTTTATTCTCTGTTTTTTACTCTTATTAACGAGAAAAGAATGACGATAATATCCCATTTGCCACGGCCTTGCTTTGTGGATGGTTAATTTGATACAAATCCTCAACAATCGAAAATCACAAAGAGAAAAAACGAAATGATAATGGTGATGATAAAATGGTTTATTTGTATTCTTATGGTTGTCAACAATGAAAGTAATCTTCACACGCGGGAACACTGAGACTAGACTAGAGTCATTTTGGAAACAACATTAAGGCCGGATGGACTACGTGTTTGTCTTTCTTTCTGACTGGTTACATTTTCCTATTTTTTATTCTAAATCTGTTTCTCTTTTTTTCTTTCTTTTTTTTTCCTTCATTCGGACTGATATCCTCATAACAAGCATTTTTTCTCTCATAATGTTCCAACTATTGTACTCAGAGGATAAAGTCAAGAAGAGAATGCGTGTCAGAAAGACTGATAATAATAAAATAACAAGCCGTTTCAAGACTTTTGACATTTTCTTTCTTTCTTTTTTCTTTTCTCTTTCCTTTTTTCTTTCTTTTTTCTTTCCTTCTTTCTTTCTTTGCGACCGTCTGTATATCAATTTCAGTCTGTTTATATCTATTTCAGTGTCCGTGCAACAAATAAACCTCTTTCTTCCTCTCTCTCAGTCTCTCACACACACGCACGCTTGATATTTCTTATCTCACCATCTCTTATTTTCGCGTCTATCTTGGGTTAATTATTTAAATAATCTTCCTAGTTTCAGAATTTCTATCTATCTATCTATCTATCTATCTATCTATCTATCTATCTATCTAACAGACAACATATACATTTGTGGGTCCGTTTCTTTTTCTCTTCATAATCTGTCTATCTCTTTGTGTATCGTTCTTCCAAATGATCGCTGTTGTTATCTCACTGTTTACGCCTTTGTCAATACAGAAGGTTCCAACCAGACCCAATTCAATCCATCGGACAATACTAAATTTAAAACAGGGGAAATGAAGAGAACGCCCACAATGTAATTTTCTTGTTACGTCTTATTTATACTCACTTTTTGAATTTAATTTGAATCTATCTATCTATCTATATATATATATATATGTTGGGGCAGCAGGTCATTATTTAAACATATATTGTTAAATATAACAGACAATGAATGACTATTATGTTTGATCATGAGCCGTTGTAAACTTCGTATGATTGCTTTAATTTCGGATGAAAATGAAGAAAAAGATTGTTCAACATTTGGACATTTTTTTACTTTTATTTTTTATTTCTTTTTAAAGAAGCAGCTTACAAAAAATATCCAAATTTTGAAAATTTTTGTCTTTATTTTCACCCAAAATTAAAGCAAACCATACGAAGTTTACAATGGCTCATGATCAAACATAATAGACTTTTATTGTGTGTTATATTTAACAATATATATATATATATATATTGATAGAGAGATATATATAGATATAATGCCTTTCAACTGTTGCTTTGATGATTAATGAAAACTGAAGAGAGACATTTTGCAGAAAATAAAAAATAAAATAAATTTCTTATACAAATGAATATTCTATTAATTTTGTGTTTATTTGTTAACTAAACAAATAGACGCGAGGTTTATTGCTAGTTGATTTTTTTTAGGCATCTATTTTCAGTTTCTCCACTAAAGGAAAAATGGTTAGACACATTTTCCGAGCAGACAATAATAATAGTGATTCTTTAGAAATGAATGACGAATTTTCAGCTAAGAATACAAGAGCACACAATAAAAATTTAGATCATGTCAAGTTATTGATTTCTTTGAAGCATTAAGATGTTTTCCATTGTATGAGCCTCTTCCGGTAATTATTATCGTAAATGTAACTTTTGTGTCTGCAGGTATGTTAACGATACCATATATTTGTATAGTAAATATCGGTTTAGATACATGGATCTCTCTCCCCTCCCTCTCTCTCTCTCTGATTGTGTGTGTATATATATATATATATATATATATATATAGTGTATTGGGTCAGCAGATCATTATTTAAGCATATATTGTTAAATATAACACACAATAAATGCCTATTATGTTTGATTATAAGCCATTGTAAACTTTGTATAGTTGCTTTAATTTCGGGTGAAAATAAAGACAAACATTGTCCAAAGTTTGGATATGTTTTTAGTAAGCTGGTTCTTTAAAAAGAAATAAAAAAGATAAAAGTAAAAAATGTCCAAATGTTGGGCAGTTTTTGTCTTTATTTTCAACCGAAATTAAAGCAACCATACGAAGTTTACAATGGCTCATGATCATTTATTGTCTATTATATTTAACAATATATGTTTATATATATATATATATATATATATATATATATATATATATATATATATAAATATTTTAGATTTTAAGGAAACCTCTGATATAGTGGAAAAAGTTTCAAAAGTTTTCGTGTGACGTGTTTTGTCCTTTAGAACTTCATCAGACGAAAATTATAAAAAAACGTAAATAGTACTGAAGTCCTATGTCATAATTTTCTCTAATATATATATATATATAATTAAAAATATGATTCCAACACGCTACATAAAGAGTTCTCATGTTTCAAAACAAGAGCCGAAAACTTCAATAGTTTTCGACTCTTGTTTTAAACATGAGAACTCTTATGTAGCGTGTTGAAATCATATTTTTAAATAAATAATTATATTTATGCTCTACTTTTGTATCGAGCACGATTTTTTAAAATAATAACAAAAATACTAAAGAACTTTGGATTATTTACCTAACGAGATCTTTCCTATTTTCTATATATTTTTCATATATATATATATATATATATATATATAATATAATACTATAACTCACGCCGACAGTACAACTCGGAGTTTCATGATCAATGTAATCATCAGGTACTGATCAGCTTGCCCTGATCATTGCACGGGCCATGAAACTCCTAGAGGTACTGTCGACGTGGGGTATTATGTATATTTATTAATATATACTTAATAGCTCTATTATTTAGATCTGAGCACAGTTTTTCTTACACCAAAGGATATGTATATCTATATCTATCTATCTATCCAAATATATATATATATATATATATATATATATATATATATATTTGTAATTGAACATTTACACGTACATTTATCTATATTTATCCATTTGAGTGTCTTGTAATTGAACACTTACACCTACATTTATTTATATTCATCCATTTGAATATATATATATATATATATTTTGTAATTGAACACTTAGACGTACATTTATTTATATTTATACATTTGAGTGTGTGTGCATATATATATATATATATATATATATATATATATATATATATATATATATATATATATGTTAAGTATTTGTAATTGAACACTTACACGTACATTTATTCATATTTATCCATTTGAGTGTATGTGTGTGTGTGTATATATATATATATATATATATATATATATATATATATATATATATATATATGCAATAGTTGCATCCTCCCGGTTCGCACGTACTGTTTCTTAAAAGTATAAAAGCTTAGCGAACCTGTTGTTGGATTATCCCAAAATAATCTTATATTAATAGCCGATATATAATAGCTAGTAATGGAGTAATGGATAGCTTATCTGATTGAGAGCCGAGTTCGAATTCCACTCGAATCCATTACATTACCTCACGTGCTAAATACCCTTGGGAAAGATACGAATTCGCTTCTTGTCCCAGCAATGTGTAGATAGCAGGACAGCCCGGGTTCTATAGTCTTGGATGGCAACTGGTCTACCGCAGAAAGAAATGGCAATCCACTGCGGGAAAAATCTGCCTCGTCAGTCATGTATCGAATGATACATGATCACCTAAGTGTGTATCACACATGGCACATAACTGACTGATGATAGCTAAAAATATAATTAATACCATTGTTGTAAGTTCTGAGGAGACTGAAAGAAGGCTTTCTTTGATGGACATAATTTATTCTGACAAAAGAAATCGTATTGATGCTAAAAATCTGGCAGATCTTCTTGACATAAATACGCCTTCCCTTTGATCTCTGAGACTGCAGTGATTCAGTTTGAATGTGGCAAAGATACCATAACACAGCTGATGTCACTGGAGTAAAAAAAAAAAAAGAATCATACTTCTGAACAGAAATATGATGAGAACAGAATTTCAATCTGGAAATATTGTCATAAATATTTTCTATTATATTATTGTTTAATACTTTTTGATGCTATATAAAGTGTTTTGTTTTCATTCTAAGACTAAAAAGAAAATAAGCAGAAGAGGTTCCTAAAGATTACTTGCCTTTATAGAACAAGTTCCTGGAAATTTGGGTTGTTATTATTGTATATATGTTTGTAAGTATATATATATATATATATATATATATATATATATATATATATATCAAGAATTTTAAGCTAAGATTTGCCATGTTACATTTGCTGAGTCGAACCCTCATCATTACCTGCGTATTACATTTGTACGCAGGAAGATCCGCACAGAGAGATTTCCCCGCCAAATCGCTGCTATCTATCTATCTATCTATATCTATCTATACTAGTTTCTTCGTTATCTATCTATTTATACTAGTTTCTTATCTATCTATGTCAGTCTATTCATATCTGTCTGTTCATCTATGTCAGTCTACGCATACATATATAGTCTACTATCTATCTACAGTGTAACCCGGATATAAGAGAGTTGTCGGGACCGGGGAAGAAGTCTCTTATATCCGGGTTTCTCTTATATCCGGGTTTGGTCTATTTTTAGGTAAGTATGGGCTCTAATTTGGGACCAGAGAAAATCTCTCTTATATCCGGGTTTCTCTTATATCCAGGTCTCTTATATCCGGGTTACACTGTATCTATCTATTTTTCATATTACTTTATACTGCTTATCTATCTCACCTGTATAGCTATCTCCATTTGTCCGTTTCTCCCTCCTTCCCTGTCTATCTATCTATCTATCTATCTATCTATCTATCTATCTATCTATCCTAGTCTCTTCATTATCTATCTATCTCTTTTCATATCTTCACATCTGTCTGTCAAATTTAATTATTGAATTTATGTCTTCGAGAGCCATTAATCGTTTTTTTTAAAACTCGGCGTTCATTCGTATTAAATGGTTTTATCTTGACTGTTATGCTTCTGATTAAGTGGTAATCATTTCACATAAAATGTCAGAATTAAGAAAAAAGTCCGTAGCATTAAAATATATCAGCAGGATCGATAAGACCCAGTTGGAAAATTGGAAAATCAACAGAGCGAGCAACATTATGAATAGAAGAAAAAAAGAATCGCAAAGTTAGATGAAAATGGAAGACCCACCAATGAGAAGAAGTACAGATCTTATAAAATTCTATTCAGTTTAATAGCGACCGATAAACTCAAGATTCAAGTTTTATAAAAAGAAAATGAAGGACTTCTACTACTACTACTACTACTACTACTACGTGTTGTGTACCTTCGTGGCATAGTTAATCATGACTCTTTCCAACCTCGTACCCTTTGTAGCTCTAAGTAATGTTTAACTCCTTACTCTCCTTTCCAATGGGTTTATGGGAAGTATAACGGATATCAGTGCCGTAAAGCGAATCGACGAGCTGAGTTCAAATTCTGGGTAGGTCAATATCTACACTACGGGAAAAAAACAGCCCCAAACTGGTATGGACATCATCCTGAAATTGTAGCTGAGGGGAATATGTTAGTATCCTCTGAGATTTTTCTACGAACATAGATTGAACAATACAAGCAAATGGCCATGATATTATTATTATTATCAAATACAGAACACAAAAACAGCTTGCGCATTTCGCAGAGATGTTTTTGTCTCTTGGTACGCAATGTACGAAGTGGCAAAAACATCTCAGTCAAAGTTTCTGGAAAACTAAGCAAATACTGGAGATGGGAAGACAAAAAAATATAGCATTTAAAAACTAAAACTGTTCCTCTTGTGGCTGGGGCTTTGGGTCTGATAAAAAAGGAAATCAAGAGGAAATCAACATAATCCCTGGTGCACAATCTCACCAGGAAACCCCACAAAATAGTTCTAACAGACACAACCTATATCCTGCGAAGAGCTTTGTCAACTTAAGTTCTTCTTTGTTAATAGCCGTCTTTAGTTTAATTAAGTGGAAAAAAAATTCCTATCCTTCGTTATCGGCGATTGTTTATGACTTGGCATGTGATTAAAAACAAAGGAAGCTCAAAAGACTTTTTATAATGATAATTGTATATATATATATATATATATATATATATATATATATGAAGAAATATAGTTTTAAGGTGTGCTATATATATGGGATAAAGTACTCAACATCAGAGATAGAGCGTATGTAAATATAAATATAAAAGTGAACATTGAAGTCAACACTCAGAAGGCGACAGGCTGTTTCATACTAGAAACAATCGTCAGGCCTGACGATTGACGTCAATGTTCACTTTATATATATATATATATATATATATATATATGCATGTTTCATTAAAACGACAGACAAAACACTACGGTTAAGCTTTTTATTTAATTTTCTTGTGTTCTAACAAGAGCTTCCTTTTCTGGACAAAGGGTGTGTAAGAACTGTCCAAATGTTTTATATTTTCGAGCGCTTTCGGCTATACCTTTAGCCATTATCAAGGATGATTCGATTTTTCAGCTTAATTGAGTGTGTGCGTTCTGTGTATGTCTTAGTGTGTGGTAAGGATGGTTTTAATGTCCGAATACGGTTAGCACATTGTGGCTTTGTTCGTAGTTAATATTGTTAAGAGTTGGCTTTTTCTTTTTTATTATTAATGCTTCCATTATTTTTAGTCTTTTTTTGCAAGTGGATGGAGTTAATATATTTGTGTTTTCTACTAGTATGTTCCTAATGGAATCGGGTAAATCTGTGTGTGTGTTTAAAAATTAAATAAAAAACTTAACCGTAGTACCCTGTCTGTCGGTTTTAATGAAACATGCATAAAGGAAGGATTGCTGCCTAAATATACATATATATATATATATATATATATATATATATATATATATATATATCTTTCATTGAAGACGACAGACAATAAAAAAAAACTCTGGTATTTTTCGATCGAAGTATACACTCAAATCGCCCAGGCATTATAATCGAAGACAGAAAAGAAAAAAAATTACGCACTGATTGACATGAGCGTACAATGGAACAAAAACATATCTGCGAGGCTTTGCGAAAACCAAGAAAATACAAAGCCCTGAGAATAGAAATAGAAAAAAAAATGTAGCACTTAAAAGCTAAAACTTCTTGTTGTAGTTTGGAGCTTTGGGTCTGATAAAGAAAGAAACTCAAGAGGAAATCAACATAATCCCTGGTGCACCATCTCACCAGGAAATCCCCAAAAATAGATCTAACAGACACACCCTATATCCTTCGAAGAGCTTTGTCAGTTTCAGTTCTTCTTTGTTATTAGACCTCTTTTGTTTAATTAAGTGTAAAAAATCTATCTGTCTTATTGACATGGCAGTCCCTGAAGATTGTAATGTACTTTGAAGATCTTAAAAAAAAACTAGAAGTTGAAATCTAAAACATGTGACACACTTGAGATCAACTCTCTGCGTCTGCTCGGTCTCATGTTGACTCCTGACCTGAGATGGAACAAAAACATTGAGTCAATTGCTTCGTCCACCGCGAGGAAAGTTGGCTCTCTGTGCTGCGCCAGGAAATTTTTCTCCCCGGAATCGATACTTCAAATATACAAATCAACCATTCGCCCTTGCATGGAGTATTGCTGCCATATATGGTCTGGGGCATCTTCTGTTTACCTCGGAGTTCTTGACAAGATCCAGAGACGGATATGTAATATAATTGGCCCTGATCTGGCGTCTCGTCTACAGTCACCCTCTCACAGACGTGCCGTCGCCACTTTCTGTCTTTTTTACAAATACTTCCATGGTAATTGCTCCGATGAGCTGCTTTCACTGGTTCCCAGACTTCATGAATTCAAGCGCCCTACGAGGCTGGCATCCCGCTCTCACCCTTTCACTGTAGAAACTTTTAAATGTAGCCGTCTCTTCTACTCCAATAGCTTCATATCTCGCACCTCTCGCATGTAGAACACCCTTCCCTATTACTGTTTCCCTGAGAGCTATAATCTCTAACTATTCAAATGTAATGTCAATCGACATCTCCAGTTACCTTGATCTATCCACTATCCCTCTCCTCATCCTTTCTTCCATCACTCCTATCTGCTCTCGCTCCAAATCTTCTGCAACCCCACTGTATCCTAGTGGCTTCACGCCTTGCTCGGGGCGTAATGCTTTAAAAAAAAAAAAAAACACATGAGGAAATCAATAATTCCAGTTGTCGTCCTCGGTTCGATTAGCAAATGTTTCGAGAAGAATCATTGAAGAGATTTCCTGATAGACCCTTAACAAAAATAAAAAAGATTGTACTCACAAGTACATCCTTCTTTTGCCATAGATTATTGGTTATAACCCGGCATGTGATTATTAAATAAAAAGTACAGACGACGCCATGACAAATTAAAGACTATTAGTGAGCAGGTAAGTGGTAGGAACATTCCCTACCATCAGTTGGCGACAAAGAGCAAAATAATCTCATGTGGGATATTATTATTATTTTAACTGACAAGCGCTTAGAGTGCAATCGCCCTGATATCACACTTGTCCACAAGAACAGCCATAAATGGATCATGAAAGACGTTGGGGTAAAAACAACGTGAAGTCAGACCAAGTAGCGATATAGAGGTGGCAAGATCGGGCAGGGGGGAATTGGATAAATGTGTCAAGGATAAGCTCAAGTTATCCGATTAGTGGTTGACACATTCAAACATATTTGTAGTAATCTTTGTCCCTCGCAAGACGGCTAGGTGATACGTGAAATCATTGGAAGGGCGCACGAGCCAACACTGCTTGGAACGGCTTATGTGTTGAGGAAAGTGTTGTGTATCTAAAGCCGTGGTTAATAGCTGAGATATGACCATCATCACCCAGTCGAATTATCCAAGGGTAGCAAAGGATATAATAATAATAATAATAATAATAATAATAATAATAATGCCCTGATGCTATACCAGGTATGGCTCACGTGGCTTCTGATCTTAATTGATTAGAGGTGTTAACATGTACCTATTTTGTCTTGGTGAATTAAAATGAGCTGCAGCCAATATCCCATTCAAGTACTACAGATTAGCTAATTCCTTCTTAAGCAGTTGGGCATATAATCTCTGTTTATGAGACAGTGTAGTAGGGAAGGATGATGAGCGGGTGTCGAGAGGGTTGACCTTTTTTTTTCAATTTGAAGGACGAGGCAGACAAAACGACTTTGAAGTCACATCTCGGTACTGGGAACGGCCTCAATCGGAGACTGTCTGAGTAGACTGAATGTATTTCTAATTGGACTCCAACTGTAAGATTATTCACTGCTTTATTTAAAACTCGTCACCATATCACACATATTCGGTTGGGATGCATTTGCCTGGTACACACCCTTATCAGACTGGTTGTCACTGGGCTTCGTATATTTGTGCACTAGCGTCATCTTGTCGGTGTGCTGTCCTCTCATGCAATAATAATAATAACTTTCTTATTGACATGGCAGTCCCTGAAGATTGTAATGTATCTTTGAATATCTTAAAAAAAAAAAAATAGAAGTCGAAATCTAAAACATGTGACACATGAAGAAATCAATAATTCCAGTTCTCCTCCTCGGTTTGATTAGAAAATGTTTCGATAGACTCATTGAAGAAATTCTTGATAGCCCCTTAACAAAAATAAAAAAATTGTACTCACAAGCACAGTGTATATATTACGAAGAGTTATATCTATGTAAAATGTGTGTGATCTTAGTTTTTTTTCCCTAATCAGTGGAAAAATATCATGAAACCATTTCTAACCTGATTTTTTTTAGATATTCAAAGATACATTAAACGGAAGAAAATGTGTATATAAAAGAAATCCAAGGAAATAATAATAATAATAATAATAATAATAATAATAATAATAAATGAATATTACAGTAAGTCTACATGATGAAAATGATATGAATATCACCCGAAGCAGTCACAGACAGC